ATCTTTTGAGAAATAAGGGTGGTGTATGGGGTGGAGGGGTGTGCTCACAGCCTGGGATTAATGAGTTCATATCTTGCCAGACACAAAGCCTCAAGGATAAGGAAATTTTCCCAAGCAGCCTTTGCTTATTCTGGTACCAAGAAAACAGAGAGCTCAAGAAAATACTTCTGAAGAAAAGGAAATAGGCTGAGAAAAAACACCCCAGTTCCCAGACTTTATCTGGCAGGGAAAAAAATACAGAGAAGCCAGGGAACTTTTCCACATGCTTAATAGGCCTTTGTTTTTTAGACACTCATCCTTAAGCTTCAGCCTTATTAACACAATATTCTAATTTTAGTGTTACCAAAATATCCCAGACTTCATAGTCCAGGGCCAAAGAATAAGACCACATTTACTTTTAATGTCCAATCTCCTCTCACCTAATTGTCAGAAATTAGCCCTCACGCCAGTATCCCCCAGCTATTCTGAAGGGTTCCACAGTGCCACCTCTGTATGCTCAGGAATAGATCTCAATTTTCCCATTCCAGCCTCATCCTCACCTCCCATCCCATCTCATATCCCAGCCTCACCCTCACGCCACCTTGCCACTGCTTCTGCTGCTGTGGCTCTCATGAAACTGCCAACCTGCTGGGCAAAGCTGCCCTCTGCCAGGTGACTGCTAATGCCATCCTCCCCAACCCCCTTGGCCTTGGTGGGAGAAACTACTCTTATCATTATCCCTTCTTCCGGTGCATGAGATATATTCAACAGCAGAGTTGAAATAAAACTATGTCCTTCAATGGGATGTATTAAAATATTAGGAGTCCCTGGGTGGTGCAAACAATTTGTACTCGACTACTAACTGCAAGGTTGGCGGTTCGAATCCACCAACAGCACTGCAGAAGAAAGGCCTGGTGATCAGCTTCCATAAAGATTGCAGCCAAGAAAACCCTATGGAGCAGTTCTACTCTATAACACATGGGGTCACCATAAGTCAGAATAGGCTCTATGGCAATGGGTTTATTGAACTCTTAGGAATCTCTGAGTAATGCCAACAGTTAAGTGCTCAGCTGCTAACCGAAAGGTTGATGGTTCGAGTCCACCCAGAGGCCACTGAAAACTCCATGGAACACAATTCTACTCTGATACACATAGGGCTGCCATGAGTCAGAATCATCTTGATAGCAACGGGTTTGGGGTTCTTTAATTGAAATATTAGGGATAATGTAAAGGGAGTACAACACAGGGGGTGGTTTACAACCACCACACGGGAGCAGACTTGCCCAAGGATCAATTACCAGGCCAGCTCCTGCTTGGCCTCCTTCAACATAGCCAAGCGAAGCTCCTCTCACACAGCTGGAAAGCTCCAGGTATATCCATGCCTTAGGCCCAGGCACACTGGTCCTCAGCCCCAGGAAGAAGAGAAAGAGAGTTTTTTCTCACTGCGTCTCAAGGCCCTTTTAAGTCCTCATTTCCTGCCCCCAAGATTGACCTCTTCCCAGGATGATTAACATGGGCACGTTCGTTTTTTCCCTCACCTCTTCAGTAAATATTTGTTGAACACTTGTTACCTTCCAGGCACTATAGTAGACACTGAAGATACCTCAAAACCCACTGCCATCGAGTCAGTTCTGACTCATAGCAATCCCATAGGTTTCCAAGGCTGTAAATCTCTACAGAAGCAGACTGCCACACCTTTCTGCCGTGGAGTCGCTGGTGGTTTCGAACCGCCGACCTTTTAGTTAGCAGTCCATTGCTTTAACCACTGTGGGGAACAAAACAGACATGGCTCCAGCCCCCATGGAGTTTAAAATCTACAATTGAAAGAAAAACAAATAATTACACAATCAAATATGATTAGTTATAAAATGTCATAAGTTCAATTAAGAAAAAAAAAAGTATGTGGTGTCGTGAGAAGGTCTAATAGAACTAACTTGAATTGAGGAAGTCCAGGAAGGCTACTTTGAACAATGACACTAAGTTGGCAATGAAGGCTGGGTAAGGATTGGTCTGGTGAAGAGCTGGGAAAAAAGCATCCCTAGTCTTCAGGCAGGGGTGATTACAGGTGTGAAGGCCTGTTGGAGAAAGGAGCTTGAAAAACCAATGTGACTAAAGTGCAGAGAGTTGGGGAGAGTGGTGCAAGGTGAGGCTAGACAAGGAGGCAGGAGCCAGCCCATGTAGGCCCTGGGAGGCCATGGCAATGACTTGGAATTTTACCCAAGCGGGATGGGCTGCTGTTGAAGAGTTTGGAGCAAAGGAGTAGATGGCATGTGTTTGACATGTGTTTTAAGAATACTGTGGTGGCCATGTATAATGAATAGAAGAAGGAGCAAGAGGACGGTTGAAAGATAGCTGGAGACTGTCCCAATGGTCTTAGCAAGAAATGATGGTGGCTCGGACCATGGTGTTGGAGAAGAGATAGAGAAGAAGTCAGTTTCAAGATATGTTTGGAGTAGAACCAACAGAATCTGATTATAAATTACGTGGGGAACTGAGGGGAGAGGAGAGTAAGGTAGAGAGTCAAGGAAGGTTTCCAGTTTCTGACTTGGACAGCTGGATGTGTAGCCTACTAGTGGAGCACTGACAAGACAATCAGACAGTAGTCAGTACATTTTCCAACGTCCGAGCTACTTGGCCTTAAAAATTCTGTCTGAGAAGCATCAGCAGCTCAGGCCAGGGACAGGCTCAAGCTAATTCCTTTTTAGTTTCTCTCTTTAAAGCCTCCAATAGTCTGGCGATCCAGTAAATGGCTTTACATCCCTTACACACACAATAGTTCCTTCCTGCTTATTATTTCTGGAAAAATAACCTGTCTAAGGGGTATTTATGAAAGAGTTTATCACAGTGATTGAGATCAGAGCCTCTAGGGACAAATCCTTCCTCTGCCACTTAGGGTTTGAGGGGCCTTGAATAGGTTCCTTAGCCTCTCTGTGACTCAGTTTCCATATCTATGAAATGGCAGTAACAGTATTGTCTACCTCAAAGAGCTGTCAGAGGGCTTAAGTGAATTAATCACACGTGACATGTTTAGAACAGAGTCTGGCATGTAGTAAGTGCCCATACAGTGTTAGGAATTACCATTCTTCTTCACTAATTCAAGTGGGGTTGAAAGCTTCTCACTCCTCTAGCACTGTTCCATGCTAGGAGACTGCTTGGCAGAGTGGGAAGCCATGGGGAGTTTTAGTCAGACAGATTGGACTTCAAGTTTCTGCTCTCTTGGTTAACCTCTCTGAGCCCAAGTATTCTCAACTGTAAATATGGAGAGAATCATACCTACCTTGAGTGGTTCTTGTGAGGATGAAATCAGAAACCATGGAACCGTGCCTTGTACATGGTGGATGCTCAAGAAATGTTGGGTTCTTTCCCTACTTGAAAGGCGTTTCCCTTCCTAATTTAAATAGAACATATCCAACCCTCTTCCCCTAGGGAGACTCCAGTGGAGAAAGGTAACTTCAAACCCTTTCATAGGCCTTTTAAAACCAAAACCAAACTCATTGCCATTGAGTCGATTCCAACCCATAGCGACCCTAGAGGACGGAGTAGAACTGCCCTATAAGGTTTCCAAGGAGCAGCTGGTGGATTTGAACTGCTGACCTTTTGGTTAGCAGCCATATCGTTAACCACTGCGCCACCAGGCGTTTAGTCTATGAATAAAGTTTTTTTCAGGAATTACACTTTGCCCTGTTCAGCACAGTGTGGAGCTATTAGGAGTCCCTGGATGGTACAAATGGTTAACGCACTCAACTACTAACCAAATGATGATCCACTTCTGAAAAATCAGACGTTGAAAACTCCATGGAACACAGTTCTGCTGTGACACACACAGGGTTGCCATGAGTCGGCATCAACGGCAACTGGTTTACCAGTTTATGGAGCTATTTAAAAGACAGGAACATGAGTGTGGACATCTTACATACCAGAGAGAATGTCCACAAAGATTCTATTTGGTCCCCAAACTATTTACGCTTCCTACTGCCAATAGTACCCTTTGCCCCATGCCATATGGACTTCCTCTTTCTGTCCCCACCACCACCTTGAACAATCAGAGTAAGAAACCACAAGCACCAGCCCACAGAAAACACTCTTGATTGTCCTGGAAAGTAGATTCCTCGGGCTTTTATTTTCAAGGCTGACTGCTCCATTTCCTTCGCACAGTCGTGGAGGGTGGCAGAATTTGCTCTGGACGTGCTCCCCCTTCCGTCCGCAGTCCTTGCAGTGGCATTCCCCAGGTACCTGGTGCTCACCTCTTTCTGGCTTACATGAGTCGTTTGCATCTTGATGTAAATGTGTCCCAGTTGCTGTATCGAGCCCCCTCCCGCCAGGAACAGTTGCATGTTAAGACTCATTTCCAATGTGGAGTGAAAGGTTTGCTCCTGCCCAGAAAATGGAAAACTTTTCACGAGCAAGTGGGAATTCCTTCGGAAGGGTCCTTCCCCTTAACCCTTCAAATCTCACTTATTCTATGCTGTATACTTGGCCCTGAATGGATAATGTAATACAAAGACTTTCCTTCTGATAGGCTTTTGGAGACCAAGTGGGGCAATATAGCAATATCTATAAGGATAAGAAAAAGACTGGTGAATATGAGACCAACCGCAAAATAAAAACTGCTCGAGTAAGACTAACAGGCTTTATGCCCTGAGATATTCTTCAGACCTTGAACTGGAACTAACTCCTGAGGTCACCTTGTAGCTAAATAACAAATTGACTCAAAAAATAATGAATATCACCTATAAGTACTGTGCTCCTTTAAAAAATCACCTATATGAAACCAGATGGTCAGCAATTACTTTAAATCAGAGATGAGAATGTAAGGGTACAGGGAAACTAGATTAATGGAAACGGAACAACCAGAACAGAAATAATGAGAACGTGCGCACATTGTGAAGAATGTAACCAATGTCACTGAACAATTTGTGTAGATAATGTTGAATGGAAACCTAAACTGCTGTTTAAACCTTCACCTAAAATGCAATAAAATATTACTAAAAAAAGATTAACAGGGTTTCTTCGGATTTCAGGGAACAAATCCGTCAAGGCCTAGAAGAACTCCAGAAAGTGCTGCCAGGAGGAGATACTTACATGCATGAAGGATTTGAAAGGGTAATTTTACAACAGTTCTAAACTCCAGATATAAAGTGTGGTGTTGAAACATAAAACGTAGAGAAAGCTGATGAGATTAAGGGGCACATGTATTAAAGGGACTGAATAACACCCAATACAACAGAGTAAAATATTATTTTCCTGTAAGCTTGTATGTTGATAGCTCTATCCGAAAGAACTCAAGAAATGAATTTCTTTCCTCCCTCCCTGACACTGAGAGGGGCTTGTTAGCTAATGCTTAGCTGGCACTCGTAAATTATGCCACATGTAAGCCCCCTTCATTCCCAAAGTGACATTTGCCTGGATGGTGGCCTCAGTGGTTGAGACAGAATTTCAGTGACTTCAGCCTTAAGGAAAATAAGTCCCAGGCTGTGAGAAGTAAGTCACTGATCCATTTGCACAAGTATATTAGTTAAATGTGAGGGTCACTTTAGACAAACATCATCCACTGATATTTGAGTGAAGGCTGGGTGAATTACATAAAGGATCAATCTGAATCCTAGCTGCATACCCGACACCAGATCCCACTGGTACTTGGAATGGCCAACAGCGCCTGTTCTCTAATGGCTCTCTCCTGTGTGTTTCAGGCCAGTGAGCAGATTTATTATGAAAACAGTCAAGGTAAGACCATATTTTAAATTACCATTATGAATTATGTAACTTTTTTTCTCTTTGCTTTTGAAAAATTGCTTCAGCAATTTGATGTTTCCAAAGATATTGTCTGTAATCCTTGAACACACACTTCATTACAAAGAGAAAATGCATAGAAAGACGGCAGGTACCAGGTCGAATTCTACTGTCCTGCTGGTGCCAAGAAAAGTTATATGCAAGTAGTTAAGGGCTCATTATGGCCACAGTCTGTAAGTCCCATGAACAAGCTTGCACACTGAAGTGATTAAATTAGTAAATACTTGAATGGGTTACTGAAGTCTTGGATTTTCTGTCAAATTTAATTTTCTTGTTCTTCTCTGAGCTCCAAGCCTGTTCATTAGTGCCGTTGACTATGATAGCTTAAGATGCCAATTTGGTTTAAAATTTCACTCATTTAAATGAAAAAAAATGCATAAAATGTACTTAATAGTATGTCTAGCATATTGAAATAATCCGTTAAGAGCTCAGGCTGCTAACCAAAAGGTTGGTAGTTCGAATCCACCAACCGCTCCTTGGAAACCCTATGGGGCAGTTCTACTCTGTCCTATAGGGTCACTATGAGTTGGAATCCACTCGACAGCAATGGGTTTTGGTTTTTTTTTAATTATTATTATTATAACTATTATTGGTATTACTGCAGTATCTTTTATAAGAAGCACTTCTTTATCTGATGCAAATCTAGAGAGTCAGTATGACAGTGAGGCTTTTTCTTCCAGGCCTGTAGAGGTGTCTACTTCCACTTACATCCTAAAAGGCAATAAATAGAACAAACCCAGTATCAACACCAACCCTTGCTAATCTAAATCAACCATTAGCAACATGACTAGACGTCTGAAAAATCATTCAAAGAATTTTAATATTTTTTGCCAACTGCTATAATATTTCAGGAGCCCTGGTGGCACAGTGGTTAAGCATTCGGCTGTTAACCAAAAGGTCAGCAGTTCAAATTCACCAGCTGCTACTTGGAAACTTTACAGGGCAGTTCTACTCTGTCCTATAGCGTCACTATAGGGACGCTATGAGTCGGAATCAACTCGAAGGCAATGGGTTTGGTTTTTTTTTTTAAAAAAAAATACTTTTAAGGAGCCCTGGTGGCACAATGGTTAAGAGTTCACCTGCTAACCAAAAGGTTGATGGTTCAAATTCACCAGCCACTCCATTGGAGAAAGATGTGGCTGTCTGCCTCTGTAAAGATTATAGCCTTGGAAACCCTATGGGACAGCTCTGCTTTGTCCTATAGAGTTGCTATGAGGTGGAATTGACTGGAAGGCAACAGGTTTTTTGGTATAATAAATCATGATTATCATTATTCTTTGCCAAACTGTCTTCAGGGGGTGGTGTATAGGCTCAACAAGTGCATAGTGGTAATAGCTACAACTGCTAACCAAAAGGTCGGCAGTTCGAATCCACCAGGTACTTCTTGGAAACTCTATGGGGCAGTTCAACTCTGTCTTATAGGGTCGCTGTGAGTCTGAATTGACTCGGTGGCAGCAGGTATAGCATGTGAGAGGTACTGGTGACCAGCCCATGTGGCAGAGTTTGCTCTAAGGCCTTGGTGATAGTCACATGGACTGCTACTAGACAGTAATCACACTTGATTCACTGGAGCTATTCCCAGCTAAAGGAGCCCTGGCAGTGCAACAGTTAAGCACTCAGCTGCTAACTGAAAGGTTGGAGGTTCAAACCCACCCAGCGGCTCTGCAAGAGAAAGCCCTGGTGATCCACTCCTATAAAGCATACAGCCAAGAAAACCCAATGGATCATTTCTACTCTGTTACATGGGGTCTCTTTGAGTCAAAAATAGACTCACCAGCACCTAACAACAGCTGCCAGCTAGCAGTTCAGTGACCATTTCACAAGTTTGGGCCATTTTTTGAGATGAAGCTGAGAAACCTAGAAGTAAAACCTATTCCCTCTACAGTGTGTTCCTCTGGAAGCATTCTTCATGATGTAGCTGCTTCCAGTCCTAAGAGAAAAGTTGTTGATTCTCACCATATTGACCTTGGGTGGTAGAGCTTGTAAGAGGTGGACTTCCAGCTGAGAGGAGGGGCTGAGAAACAGATGCGGCAGGATGGACTGATTGGTTTGTGTTGTGTTGAACAGGGTACAGGACAGCCAGTGTCATCATTGCGTTGACTGATGGAGAACTCCATGAAGATCTCTTTTTCTACTCAGAAAGAGAGGTAAGCCACAGCCTGGCCTGGGTTCAAACACTTCCCTGGAAAGAGGGCTTCTCCCTTCTGAAATGTGCTGCCATCTTTCTACTCTGCCAAAATGATAGATATTCTTTGTAAAAATCTCTGGATAAAATTGTGTTGCGTATGTAAAAAGAGATCCCTGGGTGGTGCAAATGGTTTCTGCACTAGTACTAACCTAAAGGTTGGTGGTTCGAACTTACCCAGTGGCACTGTGAGAGAAAGACCTGGCAATCTGCTTCTGTAAAGATTACAGCCTAGAAAACCCTATGGAACAGTTCTACTCTGTAACACATGGGATCATCATGAGTCAGAACCGACTCAATGGCAATGGGTTTGGTTTTTTGTTCTCATACATAAAAAAAATTTAATTTATTAATCAAGTACACTTTCATGTCTTATACATAGTAGATTATTTTCCTTTCAAAATATTTGCATGGTATTCTGTATTTTGAGGGATAAAAAGTGTCTATGATATCTTCATTGAAGGTACTATATTGCTCTAGCAGCTTTGAAATATATAGTATTTTTTATAAATACTGTGTAAACTTTATATCAACTTTTAAACAAACAGACCACGGATACCATTTTTCTTCCATTTTCCCTCATATTTTCTACTAAAGTAGGAGGAAGGGAAAGAATTACTTGGAATATGTGAGAGCCAAGCTTGTCACAATATATTAATCATTGAGATTCTTACTTTAAGAACCAAAGTTGAACAGTAATTAGTAGCAAAGTTGTTATTGGTAATCTGTCCTTCAGTATTTTTTTCCTTTTCTTTATGTTCTCAGGAGGTACTTCTCAAAGCAAGTGAAAGGATATGCTAAATGAAGCTTTCAGTTTATATAAAAAGATTCCAAACAAGAGATTTACTCAGGAATTGAAAAGTAATGTTTACATTTAGAAAATCCTTTCAAGTTTTAAATTTTGAGCTATGTGTCTAATTGGCCCAAGATCAAAATGTATTTAAGCCTCATTAGTGACAAAAGAAGGAGACTTGGTGGCACAATGGTTAAGCTCTTGGCTGCTAAGCAAAAGTCAGCGGTTTAAACCCACCAGCCAATCCACAACAGAAAAGACCTGGCGATCTGCTCATCTAAAGATTACAGCCTAGGAAGCCCTATGGGGACAATTCTACTCTGTCACGTGGGGTTGCTATGAGTCTGAATCAACTTGATGACACCTGCCAACAACAATTGAGTAACAAATGCTCATTCAGGCCAAGGTAGAAGAAAGAAAAGAAGGAAAAAGACAGGCAGTGAGGGAGGGAGATGCTGGGCTCTGAGACAAGAGTTAATCATAGCTTTACACTTGTCTTAAGCTCTTGACTACTACTATTCAATTTAAATTCAGCTCCATCAGCAAGCATGAAGTATGTATTCATTCATTCATTCATTTATTCAGTATTAACTGAGAGTTTGGCAAGTGCTAGGCACTATGCTAGAACCTAGGGATGCAGAGGGGAGTAAGACACAGTTGCTGCCCCCAGGTCTTAACCTGTAATCATAGTCAACTTTGAGAGGCTTCTGCTAGCAAAGGGCATGGGGAAATTATGCAGGTAGACACATTAATCCTACCCCCAACTAGGGCAAAGGATAATTCACAGATGGGGAAACACGTAAGTAAATGTGATATGTGCTCACTGAGCATTTGGAAAATAATACATTTCTATATTCTAAAATTGAAACTATGTGATGGGAACGCAGAATGGCTTATTTGGACACAAAACAATAGTCAAATGAAGCAAAAACCCTAATAAGGAAAAGACTGAAGATAAAACGAATGATGGATGTCAGAGACTTAAAATACGGGTTAATAGGAAGGAATTTTAGGTATGGCACGTACAAACTTGGAAAGATATTCAGAATACCAGTGTCAGCAGAAGGAGGCATTCCGAAAAAGAACGATTAAGCGTAAGATATAAAGAAAACGAACTCTTCCATTCTTGTTAATTCCATATAAGGTCCAACTGGAAGAGAAGGGTCACAGAAGTTGTTGAAGATAAGGTTGGGACTAGACTGTGGCTAAAAGTTTGTTTTATCGTGAAAGCAACAGGGAATATTTCAAACAAGACATTACGTTTCTGTAACTTCCAAAATTCTGTGGGCTTGAGCACTAAGAAAAGAAAAGAAAGAACATAATTCAAATCAATAAGCATATACTGAGCACTTACTGTATGTTTACTATCAATTATTTATTGAGCACCTACTGTGTATGGCAAGGATTTCTACTTTTTATTTTTCGTTTCTGAATCACAGAAGAGCCTAGAAATCAGATATCAGAGCCTTTAATAAATCAAATATTAAAATCAAGCCAAAACCTGAGTGTTTTTCATTAAGTTACCTTCTCAATAACTTAATTCTCGAGAAGGTCATGGGTTCACCTATTTGCATATGGACCACAATTTCCATACCATTAAACCAATAGATACATGTTCTATGAAGGGGAAATAAGATAAGGCTTAAGATGCGAAGAGCTATCACTAGATGACCAACAGATAAAACAATTTGTGAAGGCAGCTGTCGAGGAAGCAGAGCATACCCACCGCTAACAATTTAAATTGCCCAACAGTGAAATAGGCTACACTGAGGTCAACGAGAAGAGGTAGTGAGTTTTCTGAAGATGAAGACATTCTGGTAGAAAGGTGTATGGTAAGAATAAAAAATGAAAAAGCTACAATATACTGTGCATAGAGCTAAGCACTTTATATAAATGATTTCATTTAATCCTCAGAGCAACATCTATACATCTACAGATGAAAAAAATCTAGGCTTCAAGAGTATAAGTAACTTGCCCAGAATGAAACAGCTAATAAGCCCATACTCTTAACCATTCACGGAGCCCTGGTAGTGCAGTGGTTAAACCACTCAGCTGCTAACCAAAAGATCGGTGGTTCAAACCCACCAGCCGCTCCTTGGGAGAAAGATGTGACAGTCTGCTTCCATAAAGATTTACAGCCTTGGAAACCCTATGGGGTCTCTATGAGTCGGAATCAACTCAACAGCAGTGGGTCTTAACCATTCGTTATACACACTGCTTCTATGCAGGAATAAAATTTCCCAATGAGCAAAAGGCTGACCTAAAGTACCTTTGAACTCAAGGATCTCTTATTGTAGGATATATAGCACGAGTTTAGACACATACGACCATAAGCAACTCACTGGGATCCCTACTGTAGTATAGCTCTCAGGAACACTATCATGAGTGTTGGTTACATATTTCTCGGTAGAAGGAAGAGTATGAAGTCTTAGTTCATTTTGCTCAAACTTCCAAAATTCATAGCCACAAAGTTCTCAAGCTTCAGGAACAGGAAAAATTATTGAAGAGGGAAATTCTCCAGATGGTTTTGAAATCCAGAGAGACCATTTTGGGATTTGGGTTTTGAATGACTTTGCAGAAAATACAGAGACTCAAGACAGCGCAGTGGTTAAGAGCACAGGCTGCTAACAAAAAGGTCGGCGGTTTGAATCCACCAGCCACTCCATGGAAACCCAATGGGGTAGTTCTGCTGTATCCTATAGGGTCCCTATGAGTTGCAGTCGACTCGACAACGGATTTTTTTGGTTATAGTAAATAGGAGCCCTGATGGCACAGGAGTTAAGAGCTTGGCTGCTAACCAAAAGGTCAGCAGTTCAAATCTACCAGCCACTTCCATCAACTTAATAATCAGCGTAGGAAATCCCCTCTGTTGGAACTGAGATTTATTCTATAGGGATGAAAAAGGGCTTTTTTAAGAAGGGTGCTGCTGTTTATTAGCATCTACATTGTTCAAGGCCGCGTGTAAGGAATGCGGTAAACATCATCACATTTAATCCTCAAAACGCTTTACAGAGTAAAGCCAGGAGTCAGACCCAGGAATATCAGGTTCCGAAGACCAATCTTTTTGTTATACCATGCTGCCATTACAAAGGAAGAAAGGCATGTCGATAAAAATCCATTAGAGGAATAGAAAGGGTAATCATTTCCCCAAAATTCTTAAAATGACTTCTCTTACCTTCAGTTTCCCTTTCCTCCATTGACGTTTCAAAGCCCTTTGTCAAGACCCTATTTCTGTGGCTCTTTCCCAACACCTCCCATTGAACTAGTCACTCCTGTCATGTCCTCCCAGCCTTACATTAGAATGTGATGTTCCCTGGAGTATGAGCTCCTTTAGGACAGAAACTGTCCTTTCATCATGGTACCTGCCAAATGGTAGGTGCTCAATAAATACTTGACCAATTAAGCTAGTCTGGGAAATCTAAGAGGAGTATCTTTTGCCTCTGCTTCTCTCTAACTTTTTTTCTTTTCTTGACCCAGGCTAACAGGTCCCGAGATCTTGGTGCAATTGTTTACTGTGTGGGAGTGAAAGATTTCAATGAAACACAGGTATGAGCATGGATTTCCTCGGATGTGGGGGCATGCTGAGCTTGTGAAAGATAGAGAAAGTGTGCGTTCAGTGCAGAAGGTACATCAGCAGCATAAATACTCCGTAGATAGGTTATTTTTCCAGAAATACTAAGCAAGAAGGAGTTATTGTGTGTGTAAGGAATGTGAAGCCATTTACTGATGAGCCTGTGGTCTTCAACACAGACCATCCAGGCAGCATCTTTCTTGATAGATGCTAAATTGCCACAGGTCTCAGAACAGATCTGAATTAACTCGGAAAACTTATGTTGGGGTTTCTTTTTGTTTTTGTTTTCCCTTTTATTTGACAAATCTGATTTTCTTACTTAAATGACAATATTCCTTTTCCTCATTAAAAATGCAATGCATTTTCAATGTAAAAAAATTGGAAATAATTGGGCAAGTGGGCAACAACCAAAATAAATATTCCTCAGTGTGGTCCATAGTTTTTTGTTTTGTTTTGTTTTAATGACATAACAAACTGCTCATAATAAAATAGGGTCACAATACAGTAGGATTTATAAGAGTCCACTTTTAAACTAAGTGTATATTTACATTAAAAAGTATGAAAGACTATGTTTTGTATCGAGTTGTATCAAGGAAGGAAGGATAGACAAATGGATGGATGGAGGGTGGGAGGGAGGGAGAGACAATGGATTGATGGATGGATGGATGGATGGATGGAAGGATGGATGGATGGATGGATGGATAGAATTATGAGTAACCTTTGTTTTTGTTTTTGTTTTTAACTCTCCTGGGATTTTTGAAGTTTTCACAATGAGTATGTGTTACTTTTGCAATCAGTAAGAGCAATAAAAGTTATTTTTTTGAAACCTTGCCCTGACATTGACAATGACTGTGGAAATCACAGAACTATGCGAGATTAGGAGTAGAGAGGCTCAGTTTGGCTTCTCCTTTCCCTCCATTCTCTGCTCCCCAAAGCAGGGCAAGCCAAACCAATTGCAAGGGCCCTTTCCGTAATGAGCAGTTTGGGTGAAAGTTAGAGTTCCCATTCATTGGCCTTGCCCAACAAGAAGTCCTGAATATATATTTGAAAGTTGCTCCAAGAGGAAACTTGAGTCTGTTTGATTTGAATAAAGTCGCCAATAGGAATTTGGGTGAATGGGAGAAAAATGAGCCAATGGCTTCCCCCCAAATCCATAAATACATCAACCCAGGCCAGATTTTCATCTAGCTGGGCAATTTTACCTCTGCTCCCAAGGAGAAAAGTATTAAAACAAATGTAAAAGCTGGAGCTGATTCTCCAGGTCCTGATCCAAAGCGGCCCCGGTAAGCTCATTATTGCTGATGGTTTTTCAATGAGGCCCCTGAGCCCACTGAAGGCCTCACGTTCCTCTGGGTTATAAAAGTAGATGAAGACCCCTGCACCCACTGGATCCCTGGTGGTGCAGTGGTTAAGAGCTCAGCTGCTAACCAAAAGGTCGGCAGTTCAAATCTACCAGCCGCTCCTTGGAAACCCTATGAGGCGGTTCTACTCTGTCCTATAGGGTCGCTATCAGTTGGAATGGACTCGACGGCAAGGGGTTTGGTTTTTCATTTGCACCCACTGGCCTTGCTAAAGTCTCTGCATCCCAGCCTGACACATCTCCATGTGCTTCTGTTTGCTGTGTTCTCAGCTGGCCCGAATTGCGGACAGTAAGGATCACGTGTTTCCTGTGAATGACGGCTTTCAGGCTCTGCAAGGCATCATCCACTCAGTGAGTAGAGACTTACCGGGCGCCTGGACACTCAGGCATCTTCTGCCACTTGTTCTGCTATAAATCGCCTAATTCCGTCTTTCTAAGGCTGGTGTTCTTTTGCTTGAGAGAACATTCCTTCTTCTATCTTGATATCTGCCACTTCTCCCTCCTGCCTTCCATGCTTGTGTCTTTCCTCATTCTCCAGTGCCAGTTCTACTGCACGATGGAAATTAACAATCGAAGGGGATCCTGCTTCTGGAAGGAAACCAAACTTTAGGCAGGCCTCACAGTTGTCATCCCAGACAGGCTGTAGCTGATGGCTTACACTTGCCCCCCGAGTTTGCAGACTTACCCAGCACTAACTGGGGAGTCCAGCCACAACATTTGCAGGCTGAGCCTGTGTCGCTTGGCCATTGGTGACACTTTAGACCAGTGATTCTCTATCCTGGATGCTTTAAGAAACACAGGTGCCTGGTCTCTGGTGTAGGGTGCAACCTGGTCTTCAAGATTTTTTAAATCTCTCCAAATGATTCTAGTATCCAGCCAAAGTTAAGAACCACTGTGTTAGACTTATAATCCCCAAATATAAGGGCTTCAGTGTTCTCCAGGGTTTGCACGGTCAACAGCCCTCCTCCCCCTCCTCACCTGGGTTGGATGGAACAATTCCTCACACACAAGTGATTTTCTACAGCCCCTTTCCTGTGCATTGAATATGACACTTCTCCACCTTCCATACACAGGCCATTCCTTTGGTTCAGTGGGTCTGTCGGATGATGGTGGTCTTTAAAGCCTCAGCTGGCAGGCTAGTTTCTGTGCTGCAGCTATCAGCAATGAAGTTCAGAGGCTTTGTGGTCTCTACATTTAGGTCTTGAGGCCAGGCAGGCAGCCAGAAGCTTCTCCAGTGGAAATTCACCAGGCTTCAGGCTTGGGGGTCCAGGATGCAAATTCAGAGCTCGGAAGACCACTGTCCTCTTAGGATGTCATAGGGGTCTTGTTCCAAGGGTTACCAGCCAGGGACTCAGGATCTGCCCAACTGCCCTCGACCAACCAAGTAAACCTCCTATATGGCTGTGCTTCAAGTTCTCTTCTCCTCCAAGGTTTACTAGGAACTCCAGCAGAGTCAGAAGTAAGAACTTTGGAGCTGATCAGCCCAGAGTTGAACTCCTGGCCCAACCTCTTACCACTTATAGATCTACGGTCTATTTCACTATGACCTTATTCGTAAGAAGAGACTGATGATAAGACTTACATCATAGCTTGTTTGAAGATTATACAAGATAACACTGGTGAAAATACCTAATATTTTGCCAGACACATAGTAAATACTCAAGACATATCAATTATCTTCCCTCCTCCCTCCCTTTCCCATCACATGAGGGACATTAATGTCAGCTTCTCCACCCCAAACCCCCCATCCCCTGAATTTCCAAACTGAATATGCATAAAAATCACCTAGGATCTTATCTACAATACCAATTCCTAGCCCGTATCCCCAAGAGATTCTATTACAGTCGCTTTGGGGTAGAGCCCAGGAATCGGCATGTTCTTAATCTGCATTTTGTAGTAAGTGTTCAGGTGTACTTTTAGAACACTGAGATATGTGTGACATTAAATTTTCAGAATCACGAAAAATAATTCCACTTCAGGTGGAGAATTCCTATCTTAAATATGTACAGATGACAGTTGTCTTATTCAAGATGTGTTTATTTGCAAGGAACAGAAACCCATTCAAACTACCTTAAGCAGAAAGTGAAAATTGTTGGAAGGATAGAGAGGTATCAATACTAACTATGGATCCCCAGGTGAGGGACCTCTGCTCTAAATCATTTCTGAGGTCACTGTGGCATACTTGACAATAAAAACAACAAGAACTGCAATAACTATACAGAACAAGACCCAAGAGGTACAACACATGATTAGCAGCAAGATTTGGGGCTGATCATGAATGCTTTAGAAGCTCAGAGGTGGATTATTCTGGGCTGGGGCCTTCATGAGGAGATGAGCCAGACCTGAATCCGTCAACGACCAGGCAAGGGTAGTGGGTAGTGCCAGAGGGGAAATGACGTGACCTCAGCCTGGACGCTGGAAAAGAGGAAGGCATATTCAAGGGACAATAATAGTGATACCCATCTATCTGTCTAGTGGGAGAGTTTGGATAACGGAGGAAATAAGCCTAGACATTGAGCTGGAACCAGCTTGTCAGGGCCTTGAAGGGTTTTAACTCCGACCTCTAGGTAGTAGATACTCACTGAAGCATTTTAAACATGTAAAAGGTAATATTTAGGAAGAGACTCTGATGACTGTGCCCAAGGGACAAAACTAGAGAGCCCCAAAAGCAGGAGCCAAATCAGGAGGCTACTGCAGTAATCCTGCCTTCAGATGACTGAATTGTGCAAAGGGACAGCTCTTATTTGTCCAAAGGTCTTATGAGCCACATGCATAACATCATTCTGGATTTGGTTCCTGCACAAATAGTTAGAATCTTTTTCTCTGCATCAGTCAGTGTTGTCCTTGAATCGTTCAACCTTAGCTCACCCACGTACAACCTGAGGCCAGATGTTGTTAAAACTCTCCCCACCTTCAAGTGGAAATAACTCCAAAGACATTTAAGAAATTTCAGTGAAACAGTTCCTTGAAAAGGTGGAAAAAAATTGGGACTTAGGTCTCCAAATTTCTAGATGAATGATAACATTCTTGTGAGCTTTTATCTGGAAGTTATGGTAGCGGTTTAGACTCTTCAAATACTTGAAACCCATGTTTATGGCAGTTGTTAATTCATTTGCTTGGACAGCAAAACATGGGCAAGAACAGCAAGGCTCATCTTTCTCAAATCAGACAGAAAAAAATTATGGCCTAAAAGTTGGCTCATTCTTTTTAAGAAGTAGATTCATTTCCTCTTTAAGAAGTAGATTCATTTCCTCTTTGGAATGTGAAAAGAAAGCCCTCGCTTTTTTCCCTATCTGAAGCATCTATTCCAGCTTGCCTCCATGGACGTTGTTTTGTGACTGGTTGTTCTCTCATAATACAGCAGGACTGAGCTTAATTATTCAAAGTAGATTGCAGAGCAGCTTTCAATAAGCTCAAATGGTTCATAAAGTTCTCTGCTCATAATGACCTTATTTTTAAACCCAGCATCAAGATGCAAGGTCTAATATTTATCCATCCATCAAATATTCATTGCAAACCTTTTGTGGTAGACTCTGACCATTCAGTTACAAGTAAAGCAGACAGATACCTTGTCCTGGTAGAGCTTACAGTCTAGTGGGAGAGACACATAAAAAAAAAAGTAAGCACATAGGTATATAATTAAAATTGTGATAAATGAGATTAAGAGTAAAGTGGTTGACAAAGAACCTAGAGGCTCCTTTGAGGGGATGACCTGAAGGATGAAATGGCGCCATCCATTGGAAGAGCACAGATAGAATGCTCCTGGCAGAGCCCTGCCCTAAGACGGTGCCTTAGAGAAAATGAAAGGACAGTGCTTAATGTAGAGGGTGGCAGAAGATGTAGGGAAGAAGCAGGCAGGGACTGAATCACACAGAACCTATTTCCTCAAAGAACAATGGGAAACATAGGCAGATACAAAGCATGACAATAGACCAGTCATACTAAAAATCAAGACTCTCCAGAAACAGAGAGATCATGGTGCTTTATCGTATCTCCTATGGAAGATAAGTAAGTGAACACTCAGGATCTATAGTAATGAGGCCTATGAAGAAGACAAATTACTACGACTTGTTGAACATCTTCTCTTCAGCAGGTCCCTGCTAGGCATTTCCACAACCACTCCTTGAAGAAAGACTTATTATCTCCGTTTTATAGAGAAGGAAGCTGAGGTGCAGGCAAGTTGAGTAAATTGCCCAAAGTCTGCACACTCTTAATTGTAGAGTGAGGAATTTGAACCAAGGTCTGGCTCCAAAGATCCTGCTCTTTGCATGACACTCAGCTGTGAATCTCTGAGGAAATGGGAAATCACCACTGGATTACCAGGAGCTGCTTATCTAGGACACGGATTCATCAAGTCCCCAGATTATCTGTTTCCCCAATCTGATGTCTTCGTTTTGGTCTTTTTGCTGTTCCTCAATTCTCTCTACTTTAAGGAAGAAATACTGAAGTGTCAGATTTGTATATTATGCTATTTTTCAAAGTGCTTTGACTTGTTTCCCGTTTTAGTCTCTCACTCATGGGAAATAGGGAAAAGACAGAAAGAAATCGACAGCTGTAGAGAATTTATTTTGGAGGCAAACATTGTTTCTTTATCTCACTTAAAGATATTTTCCCATGCAAAACTCCCAACAGCACTGTAAAGTAAATATTCTTATCCCCATTTTACAGATGAGGAAACTGATAATCAGATAACCTGCCCAAGAGCATGTAGCACTAAGGGAGAAAGCCAGAGTTCCATGTCTCTAGAGCCCATGCTTTTTCCTTCCTCTGTTTCCTTGGGAAGGTAAAAATTAATAAAAGCCACCATTTAGTGAGTTCTTACTATGTTCCAGTCACTGTACTGATCATGTTACATATATCATCTCATTAAAACCTCACAACCACCATTCGATGTAGATATTATTAGCCCTTTTACAGAAGTACATACTGAGGGTCAGAGAAATTAGCCAACTCATCCAAGGCCACACAGTGTAGTAAGTAGTGATCCAGAAGACCCAGATCTGTCTCTAATGCCCGTGGCATGAATGACCTATAGTGCCCTACGGGATGATGTGTGTAGGCCAGGAAGAGAGAAGACAATTCAGAGAGGAATACAGTGAGGACCAGAAATGTGAAATGGCTTGGCATGGTTCACACAGCAGAGGCAAGAGTGGAACTGCATGGCCTGACTGAGAGACAGTGGGTGGGCAAGAAATCTCTTTGCTTTCTACTACTAGGTGGTGAGCACCTCTGAAAAATCTCAATACTACTCTACAGATGAAGTTCCATCATCGTGGGAAGCTGGCAACTTGACATGGACTGAAAATTGCTTCTTTCCTGTTACAGCTGGTCAGCGCTTTACCTCCAATGAC